TGAACCCTACTAAGTATAAATTAAACGTCATTGTTTGCTAACTACATAATTGATTAAACTTATTATTTTAATAAGGTAAGGTATTAAACTACAGTAGCGGTCATTTCTACGGAACCACTCGATAAAAAGTCAAGTTGGTAGCCCTGTCATCTAGTACTTTACGCCGAACGCGGTTGGTAGCGGTAGCTGATATGGCAATCGAAACTAGCACAACACGAATGTTTCGGTTGCCCTCAGCTATGCCGCACTGTATCCCGTGCAGACTGTATGTTCTGTTCATCTATTTATTAAAATAAAATATCTACATTAACAATGGGGTCATCTAACCTGTCAAATTTTTGACACATATGTTTTCCCCCAGAAACCCGTCAAGGTCACTTACACCAAACAAATTTTGAAAATTTACACTAGGGAGTGGTTCTATAGAAAAGATCGGGACTTTAGACAGAGATTTGAATACTTTTTTTTACTAATTTTAATAATTCTTATAAATGAGTAGATATTTAGTAATAAAGCAATACATATTATTATACGCAAAAAATGTATTTGCATGTTTTTGCATAAACTTCCTGCACTTATAATTTATGAACAGTATTTTGGACGATGCCCAATTAATTGATAAATAATAGTATGTTGATGTAAAAAGAGTATCATTACATTACTTCAAATTCTTTTAACTTTCTTTATGTATGTAGTATATCCTGTTTCCAAAATCTCAAGAAATTAGGGTTATGGTAATTCAATTCAATCTGGATGCTTAGGGTAAAATCTCAATAAACAACAAATGAAAAAGTATGTTATTTTTTAAAATTTATATAACATTTATTGCTGTAAAAGTTGGAGATGACGTTATATGATGGGGAGGATGATTACAAATGTTGGTCAGCGTTTTATCAACCGGAAACGAGAGACCTATGTTTTCGTATTATAGGAGTCATGAAACGTTGAGAAGCCATAAAAGTAGTCAGTCGCCCGATGAACCTGATTACAATACTTCCTTAGCTTGCGCTCGAGACATAAAAAAAATAAACAATAACATTTGGATTTAATAGCTTTTGATATCTGGTATACCTAAACAGTGAGTGAATTTTAGGGGGCTATTATTACCATTACATATAACCATCCACTTAAATTAATTGGTAAAAAAATTTACCCATAAATAAGTTATTGTAAAGTTATTTTTATTTACACGCGTATAATTGCACAACAATAATTGTTAGACAAATAGAATGATAAAGAAAGGCAATGTCATATTAAAAAACAAACTACTCGTTTCGATGTAAGGTACCTTATATAAGTTAACAACATACATCTATTTAGTTATTATAGGTAAAATTCTAATACGGAATTTGTTCTTGAAGTAAGTCGTAAATTGTAAATAGCTATAAATTCGGAAATAATTCTTTTTAAAAGATACAAGTCAAAAATGTATTAGGCATGATTGTCAAGAAACATTCCAATTCTGTTTCAAATTTGCAAGCATTTTATGTCAAAAGCTGATTTTTGTAAACGTTCCAGTAATAAATTTCGAAGCAAAATCCACCTAAACTGCTTTTGTTTCGAAATTTTAATTTTCATATTACTTTTACAACATTTTAATTTAAAAAATTAAAAATGTATCTATTATTTGTGATTATTGATGTAGAAATATTGTGTCTACAAATAAGAATACTACAAAAAATTGTAAACTCTTTTACTGGTATGCAGCGTTATAAATCTTGTTCACTAAAACTTTAGAGAAAATAAGTTCAATCATTCCCGAGAAAAAATTAAAGAAAAATGTTACTGTTTAGTAAAAAATTAAATTATTTGTTTATCGAACAACAAATCTATTTGAAATTTAAATTTGTAAAATTTCGAATCTAATAATTTGAAAATATTTGTAACATCTATAACAACAGAAAAAGAGTTGCACAAATTACAGTTGTTTTTTTTTAATTTCAGATTCATCAAAATTGTTAAGTCTCTTTTTTATTTATTTCACATTATTCTTATTGTTCTGCGCGTGAAGTTGAATACGATTTCTTTCCCAACCCCAAACCTAACGCTGAAAAGCAAAACAGCAAGGAAGTACGTAAAAACGGATAACGGTACTCTATCGATTTCTGCTTGGACATGCGGCAAATCAGCACTGAATCTAAACTATGTTTCGCTTCGCCCAAGTGCGACATGCGGCAAATCTGCACCAAACAGTAGAGGCGAAAATCCCTCGGACGCGATCTGGATATGCGGCAAACCAGTTCTAAGGTGACGAAAATTCTATACATCTGTTTGCAATCAATGCAAATATTTGAATATCACAAATTTAATAAAACAAAGCAAAATCCGACTTAAGTAACTGGATGCAAATACACAAGTTATTACGGGTGTGTGGCGGCAGATTTTTAAGGTTACGGCAGTTAACAGGAGCACAACAAAAGTACCCCTGGGGTGTCGTAACACAAGCGGAGTTTGGGGCTACCGGTCTGGAGCTGTTCTCCCCCCACGACGGTGATTCTATCTATCGCAAAGCCTACCCCACACGCATATCTCCATTACGAACGTGCCCTGCGGAACTAGGCCATTACGGTCGTCAGACCCGCAAGAGGATCTCGGCTATGGACAGAAGCCGAGAATTTTACAACATCGGTGGCCGCCGCTGAATCTATCCAAACCTGTGGACTTGTACAGATGACACGATAAATCTCGCCAGCTCGACTAGGAACCGAACTTCGCTTCTGTCACGTTTTCTGTGTCATTTAACCTCAATTCCATTTTTAAATATTCAAACTCTTATAACTCTGATATTAACATCAACTGAACAAGTGTTCAAGTTTCAAAGAGCAATAAACAACATTTCGATTCGCCATACAACCTCGTGAAATTTTAAACAACAAATAATTCTTATGTGAGATTAAAGTTGGACATCAAATAATTTATATGATAGAAACATCCATCAACAAAGTATTTACAAAACAAAACTTAGCAAGGATTCATGAAACAAGAGATCTGGTGTGAAATGAACTTGTACAAATAGAAATATTCTGTGAGGTTAAAACTGTAGGTAGATCATGAAATTTACGTCCAATTAAAATTATGTGAGATTGAGAAATATTGTGTAGAAAATTGCAGAGTTAACAAAAATTACGTGAGATTAATATTTGCCACACTTTATCAACGGTTCAAACAAAGAGTTTACGTTATGTCAAATTATATCATGATCTAAGTGATTGGTTACTTAAAAAAAAAACAAATTACTTTGAGAGTTTAAAATACCGCGAACTGGTTACCCCAACAAAACACATAATAAACAAACACAAAAATATCCAATCATCGCTCCGAGGGAAAAAGCGTCTCGGTAATGTAAATTTTAAAATCGTTGCGAGGAAAAAGCGTCTCGGTGATGTAAATTTTAACATCGTTGCGAGGAAAAAGCGTCTCGGTGATGTTATTAATCTCTAGCGTCGCGAGAACGGACCTCTATCAATTTGTAGCGTTGTGAGGGCATGCCTCGATTAATTAATCAATCTGTAACGTTGTGATGGCATGCCTCGATGAATTAATCAAGATAAGGATGATAACCCCCTAAGGAAAGAAAATATCATAACCCCCGCCAGTTCGCAGTATAATGAACTCGTTTAACTGCCATAAATGAACTATTAGCAATCTTGTGTGAAGAATTAAGAAGTGTTATAGTGTAACGCTTACGTATATGCATCCAGAAGCTTTTCCGTAATTAAACAATAAGGTGTTTTCCTGACTAAGTGAATTTCATGAAATCTTCTAGCAAGTTGTTTATTTAAATAATCCGGATTGTTAAATTGTGTTTGCACTAGCTGACTATTAAGAAAAACTAACTTGATTGGTGAATTTACAAACAATGAAACAAATTTACAGCACGTGTCTCGCCTCGACCGGAAGTCCGCATTTCTCCGATTAAAAGGCCGCAAGAATTAACCGCGCGGGTTGGGGACAACTGTATCATTATGAAAGTTACAATTGATTGTCATTAAACAAAGGCTTCCTCCCGTTTTATTAACTACCAAACCAATTAATTTAAACCTAGCGCTTACCACGTGGTTACACTCACACAAGCACATTCAGAACGAATCTACGCCATGCAGTTTCTCTCTCTACCAACCAATCAACCAACCATCTAACTAAAAACTCCCTAGCGCCTAGCGCAAACTTGGTGCCTGGGGTACTACATGCATTAAACCCGACGTGCATATTTGGTTGCCTATGTTCAACGATTTTCTTTTTGTGATTGAATTTTTTTTCAAATTCAAATTATTCAAGTGTGATTTCGCGCCGCTGTTAATTAATTTCAGCGCGAAAACTTTGATTTAAATTTGGTCACCACAACATATTTTTCAAATTTCTTTTCCAGTATAACACCAAGTTACCAGCTAGAAAACAGTGCAATTAAAATAATTCCATTATCGTCATAGTCGAGTTTTTCTTAAATGGGAACGGCCTCCATCCATAAGGTCTTGAATATTATTTTCTTTTGATATGGTAAAAAATGGTTGCCTGTATACCTACTCCCATTGTATTCCAAATCTTTCTTGACTGGCTTTCAGAATATTCTAGGGCATTTTCGAGAAGAGAGTAAAGGTTTCAGAACCACTGTAAAGATCTTGTTATTAGTGTGGTAAGGTTTCTGAACTTGAATATACGACGAATTTATTCAAAATCATTTTATTATGAAAAATATTAAATAAATATCGATAGAATAGCTCCTAAAACACGTTAGCTCAAATAGAAATCATACCTTCCACCTTCACCACATTTATTATTATTTTTTTAATAACATTTATTTCCTTGTTTTTCTATATTTAAATATATTGAGATTCTAAACGAAGTGACGTCATTCATGCATATGTGGTAATTTAATTCAGTGACTGTATTCTTTTATTCATCTCTCAACCCTGGTCGAAAGATACCTAGATACAAAAATATGCTTACCCCCAATAACGCACCTAGTGTATTTTCAACCTTAGATTGGTACAACAACTTCATCAGTTCTATAACCTCCATCTGTCATAAATGACATTTGTGACGACGTAAAACTAAATATTTTGGTGGTGTTTATTAAGTTATCCCTTGCAACAATCTCTATCAAAATGAGTGCTACAGTAACAGAAGAAAAACCCGACGAGAAACCAAAGACTTTCGCAGAAAAACAACGCGAACGCATGCAGAGGTTACGAAACTTGCACACTCTTCGAAACGAAGCTCGCACCCACAACCACCAGGAAGTGGTAGCAGAGGACGCCAGAAACAAACTCCCTGCCAATTGGGAATCTCGTAAAAAACGTGCTGAGTGGATATTAAACGACCAGAAGGAGCGTGAAGAAGCCTCAAAGAACGGTGAAGACTACGACAGAAACAAACTGTTGGAGATATCCGCCGTCGACGCCGAGAAGATCGAGAAGAAGAGGAAGCGGAAGAATCCAGATCAGGGCTTTTCAGATTTCGAAGCAGCCACGTTTCGACAGTACAACAGGTTGGTTAGGAGTATGGGTCCGAAGGACATGGAGAGGTACGAGGAGGAAAAGGAGAAGTATGGAGATGCGTTTTATGGAGGTCCTCATGTGATAATCCACGGGTTGCATCAAGACAGATCGGAAGCGGTCGATAATATGGTGAAGAGTCTCGAGAATCAAATTGCGAAGAGGAACAAGTACTCGAGGAGGCGGACTCACAATGACGATGCAGATATTGATTATATTAATGAGAGGAACGCCAAGTTTAATAAGAAATTGGATAGGTTTTATGGGGAGCACACGGCTGAAATTAAACAGAATCTGGAGAGAGGGACTGCGGTTTAATAAATTCAGTTCTATCAAAATAAGCAATTTTTTTGTCTTAATTTACAATAAAATATGTACATTCACAAACTTAACAAAATTTCGCCTAATTTACACATTGTGTATTTTAAATGAGCAAATATTTGTTTAATTTAACAAATTTGTAAAGAAAATAAAAAAATAGCAGTTCGTAATTCTCTTAATTACCTGATTCTTCAACTATTATAAAACCCAAGGGTGTACAACACCTGAAACATAAAAATAAGGAGTGTTAATTTTTCGTGTTTGAACATCATCGCTGCATTAGTGATAGGATTTTTAATATATGTATTATAGGTTGATATCTGTCTATGTAAAAAAATATCTTTTTTGAAATGTATTATGTTATTTAAATACATATAGCCAAAAACAGATATTTTTCTTGATCCATTATTTCCAGTCTCCACAAAAGAGTTCTTAAAATTAATATTTAAGGTGCTCTTATTTCAAACTTTGGCTTAATTAAAATAGTTGACATTTTAAAAAAATTGTCCACATAAAATTTCTTACGCTGTTAATTTTCAGACAGGATTTTCCTTTATTACCTAGGAACTTTGTTTCTGAATCCAGAAGTACCTACGGATCTATATCTTTCGATGTCAATAAGCATCATTGTTGTTAATTAAGTGAGAGCCAAAATTGTAAATAATATTGAAACTATTTCAGACTGTAGATATTTTTTAAAAAGTTTCTATTAACTTTGTTTTTTTTTATCTTGTCTAACAGTCACAAAAACCTATCATAATCTAATATTTTTCAAATTTTTCATAATTGCTGCTTACTTGTATAGGCAACCAGTAATTCATACATGGAAGCTATAAAATCTTATAAAAAAAAAACGTAGTAACCAATTTTCAAAGCCCACTTGGTATTTTATAATCGCATTATTATTACCACATGATCGACAAAAACGTCATCTAGTCAACCATGGAATTAATTTAAAAAAAACCTGTACAGGCGAATTCTGCACTGTCACAATTGTTCGTTTTTGTTATGCATTAATAGAAAACGAGACTATTCACTATTTTCTTGCATGACTCGATTTTGCGAAGAACTTGGGATAATAAAAGTGTTATATTCTGTTCCAAGTATTCTTTTTACACTGACAATACAAATCTCTTTACTCTCTTTACTTTTTCGTGATGACCTCTATGGAGTTAAAAACAATGTAGAAGGTACCAGTCACAGTGTAATAGAAAAAAAGAAAGTTTCACCTTTCTTAAAAAAAGACAGTTGGGAGCCTCCAGAAGATTTAATATTCTTAAGAAAAGATACTTGGGGCCCCGAGAAGGTTTTCTATTAAAAAAAAAAAGACAGTTGGGGCCTCCGAGAAGGTTTTACATTTTTGGAAAAGATAGTTCGGACACCCGAGAAGGTTTCACCTTCTTAAAAAAATACATTTGGGGCGGGGCCTCCGAGAAGATTTTAAGTTTTTAGAAAAAACAGTTGAGACCCCCGAGAAGGTTTTGCATTCTAAAAAAAAAACATTTGACGCCCCCGAGAAAGTTTTACATTTTTAAAAAACATTTAGGGCCCCCGAGAAGGTTTGACATTCTTAAAAAATATATTTTAGGGTCCCCGAGAAGGTTTTACGTTTTTAAAAAAGACATTTGGGACCCCCGAGAAGGTTTTACATTAAAAAAAGACATTTGCGGCTCCCGAGAAGGTTTCGCATTCGTAAAAAAGTACATTTGGGCCCCCGAAAAGGTTTTACATTTTTAGAAAAGACAGTCGGAATCCCCGAGAAGGTTTTACATTCTAAAAAATAACATTTGATGCCCCCCAAAAAGATTTTACTTTTTTAAAAAACAATTGGGACCCCCGAGAAGGTTTTATATAAAAAAAGATATTTGGGGTCCCGGAGAAGGTTTTACATTTTTAAAAAAGACAGTTGGAACCCCCGAGAAGGTTTCACATTCTTAAAAAAACATTTGGGGTCCCTGAGAAGGTTTTACATTTTTAGATAAGACAGTTTTACATTTTTAAAAAAAGACAATTGGGATCCCCTTAAAGGTTCTACTTTTTTAAAAAACAATTGAGTCCCCCGAGAAGGTTTCACATTGAAAAAAGACATTTGAGGCTCCTGAGAAGGTTTTATATTACATAAAAGGACAGTTGGCGTCCCCAAGGTTTCACATTCTTAAAAAAAAACATTTGGGGTTCCCGAGAAGGTTTTACATTTTTAAAAAAGACAATTGGGATCCCCTTGAAGGTTTTACTTTTTTAAAAAACAATTGGGACCCCCGCGAAGGTTTCACATTCTTAAAAAAAACATTTGGGGTCCCCGAGAAGGTTTTACATTTTTAGAAAAGACAGCTGGGACCCCTAGAAGGTTTTACATTTTTAAAAAACAGTTGGGACCCCCAGGTTTCACATAAAAAAAAACATTTGGGGCCCTCGAGAAGGTTTTACATTTTAAAAAAAGACAGTTGGGACCCCCGAGAAGGTTTCACATTCTTAAAAGAGACATTTGGGGCCCCCGAGAAGGTTTTACATTTTTAAAAAAGCCATTTGGGATCCCGAGAAGGTTTTACATTTTTAGAAAAGACACTTGGCACCCCGATAAGGTTTTACATTTTTTAAAATGACAATTGGGACCCCCTTGGAGGTTTTACATTAAAAAATAATAATTGGGGCCCCCGAGAAGGTTTCACACTAAAAAAATACATTTGGGTCCCCGGAGGTTTTACAAAAAAAAACAGTTGGGACCCCCGAGAAGGTTTCACATTGTTAAAAAATACAGTTGGGAACCCCGAGAAGGTTTTACATTTTTAAAAAAGCCAGTTGGGACCCCGATACGGTTTTACATTTTTAGAAAAGACAGTTGGCACCCCGATAAGGTTTTACATTTTTAAAAATGACAATTGGGACCCCCTTGGAGGTTTTACATTAAAAAAAAACAATTGGGGCCCCCGAGAAGGTTTCACACTAAGAAAATACATTTGGGTCCCCGGAGGTTTTACAAAAAAAAAAAAAAACAGTTGGGACCCCCGAGAAGGTTTCACATTCTTAAAAAGAAGACATTTGGGGCCCCCGAGAAGGTTTCACACTATTAAAAAATACAGTTGGGAACCCCGAGAAGGTTTTACATTTTTAAAAAAGCCAGTTGGGACCCCGAGACGGTTTTACATTTTTAGAAAAGACAGTTGGCACCCCGATAAGGTTTTACATTTTTAAAAATGACAATTAGGACCCCCTTGGAGGTTTTACATTAAAAAAAAAACAATTGGGGCCCCCGAGAAGGTTTCACACTAAAAAAATACATTTGGGTCCCCGGAGAAGGTTTTACATTTAAAAAAAAGACAGTTGGGACCCCCCTAAAAGATTTCATATTCTTAAAAAAACATTTGGGGCTCTCGAGGTTTTACATTTTTAAAAAAGACAGTTGAGACCCCCGTGAAGGTGACACGTTCTTAAAAGACATTTGGGTCCCCGGAGGTTTTACATAAAAAAAAAAAAAAACAGTAGAGACCCCCGAGAAGGTTTCACATTGTTAAAAAACACAGTTGGGAACCCCGTGGTTTACATTTTTAAAAAAGCCAGTTGGGACCCTCGAGAAGGTTTTACATTTTTAGAAAAGACAGTTGGGACCCCGAGAAGTTTTACATTTCTAAAAAAGACAATTGGGACTCCCTAGAAGGTTTTACATTAAAAAAACAGTTGGGACCCCGAGGTTTCACATTAAAAAAAAAACATTTGGGGCCACCGAGGTTTTACATTTTTAAAAAAGACAGTTGAGACCCCGTGAAGGTTACACATTCTTAAAAAAGACATTTGAGGTCCCCGAGAAGGTTTTACATTTTTAAAACAGAAAAAAATTCCGAAAATTTGGACTGTTGGGGAAGAAATTCAAAGCGAATTCATACACCACACGTACAGGAATATATTGTTATATAACAGCTAAATCAATTAAACCTAGAATTCTTTGAAATGAAGTCATCAAATTGTTTGTGGGGGTGATTAGCCACATTTTGGTTAGCATTTAATCATCTACATGATATTTCTAATAAATACACATGCAAGGTTTGACAACAATCTGTCCAGCATTTTCGAAGATTACATGTCTAATAAAAATAGATACAGATACCAAACAGACAGACAGACGGAAACGAGAAACTACTTTTTCGTACTGCAGATCTCATGAAGCGTCGAGAAAATATCAAAGTGGCCATTCGTCCTTAGTTTACGCTCGGGAAGTGAAAACAATTCCGTGGCTGACAGACGACGTTTTTCTTTTTTTTTTTTTGGTCCGGTGGTATAATAATTAATAATTTTATTATTTTTATTATATTATAGAGTTGGCCATGGAAATATTTGTCATGTCTTTGATTAAACTGCAAATGTCATCCATAACCACATTTGTATTTCAACAATTTGGATTTTTGACTTTTGCATTTCAATCAAAAACATGACAAATATTTCCGTGGCCAATTTTAATCTATAAACTTTTTAATCACTCGTTGTAATCGAGTGTGTTATATGTACAAACTACGCTCTTTTAAATAAGTTTTGTAAAATGTTGTGGTATGAATTTGAAATGTAAATTTTACACTGAGGAAAAAAAAACGCATTTGAATGAAAAATTGTCGAAGGTTATTTCGACAGAACTTCCTTCGCCCCTGAAGCACAGTGCATTAAAATCGAGATTTTTCGAAAATTGTTAGATTTGAGTAAGCGAATTTAATTTTTTTTTATGATGACACTTATAAATTAAAATAAAAATGTTTGTTTCAAGTGAGTTTTTCCATTACAAAATTTTGTGATGACGTTATCGTTCTTGATTTGATCAATACAATAAATTGCCTGATTGATTTTTTTGAGTCGGCTTGTATAAGTAATTTTTCGAAGGCATCAATTTTTTGGTAGGCGACAAACGAATAAATTTTGGTTAACTATTTACCATGATTACAATAACCTTAAAATATTTGCAAGAGCATTCGGTTATGCAGTTTCAAAGTTAGATTGCAAAATGTTGTTATACAATTGATTTTTTTCTAAAAATCTGGATATCTAGGGTAATAACACTCGCTCTCGCTCGGGGTGTTGTAATGACGCAAAGAAGTGTGTTTGGGTTTGTTAGTCGTTAAATATAATATAGGCATTATTTATAAACATGGACTTTATTTCAAATTCCTGGCCAACAATAAATAAATTTAATCACATAAGAAAATGAAAGTTCCTTATCATTTTCAAACTGTATTTCTGTGTCCAAGAAGACTTGATTAATAGGTACTACTAGTAACGTAAAATGGAGAAATGTTAATGTGCCATAAAATTATTCTGCTTGTTCATTTTTATTTGTAGAAGATCTGACCATCAATTACAACCAGTCATTAAATGACAGTATTGAAATATGTTGCTAGCAACCTACACTATTTATTTAAGTTTAACAATAAAAAGGTAGTTATTGTCAACAACACCATGTTATAAAACTACTAAAAATATTTTGTTTTCAGGGAATTTCAAACACAATTAGGTTTAACGCTTCAATAATAAATTCACAGAACCAGTTCATATGATCTAAAATAATAATGTAGGCATGTAGACCTGTAGGCATCCATCCTGTTTTTATTATGGTTCGATTTCAAATGCAACCCACAACACTTACATAAACCAGCATATTACTTAAAATAAGCTGTCCATATGCCAAAATAATTTAAAAACACATCAATGAGAATTCCACATCTACTTTTCACCATACTTATTACTAATGACCCCTAGATTAGTGACTTTTGCCGCCTCGTTGTGATGACGTAAAGTCGTCATTATTGTCATTCATAACCTAACTTTCTTTCCAAAATCAACTTAATCTAGGATGTCTTTAATCATCCGTATTTTATTGCATCGTTAACACAATTTAAGGTCCACGTATCTGAATACTGGATCTAAATATACTAATATTAAAAATCCTATCCGCATACTATACGTTGTTATAAAAAATGTATTAAAACAATAAACACACGCCATGTGTAGTGGTTAAAGCTAAACTTTAAGGTAGATCGTCTGCTCCAACATAGAAATATATGTTAAGAATTCAAATAAAACAATAAGAAGATTTTCGGGGTTTCGTGTGGCTATGTTTTGTGTCGTCGTGATGGTACCTCTTCACTTTCTCTGTACACATCAGGAGTGCCACACCAATAATGCAAAAGTTCCTTTATTCGTTGTTATTGTGTCTACTTAATTTTTGTTTTCTCTTCACTGAATTCTGTTATGATTTTGTAAGATCTCTTGGTTTTCAAAGCTCATCATTCTTGACAGTTTATTTACAATATTACAAACAATTCTTAAAATTATTTGTGTTCATAATTGTTGTAATTTTGCATCTGTTGATTTATGTACGTAATGTGATAAAAATACCCACACTGATAAGACTATAAATAAAACAGATACGAATCCGTTCCTCGTATGACGACCGTAACTGATAAAAAGTAAGAGCTGATTTAAGGATTTGGGAACAGACGTTTTTTTTTTTTAATATAAAATAACTAAAAATTCGATACTTACCTTTTGGTTATTTGCAACACCACATTGACATGCATGTTAATCAAGCTCTAATAACTCACACAACAAACAATATCTTACGTCTAGATAGTCTTGGAGTAACATGAATGTGAATATTATCACCTGGAGCTGCAGAAACTACAAATAAAAATCACCCATTAGAACAATGCATAAATTTTATTCATCAACAATTGATACAATTATTATTAAGGTACCAAACCCTCTCAAAAATCTAATACAAAATAAAACAACACGCTTTAGAATGTCAGTATCACAGTTCGAGAGGTACAATCACAGCCATTCAATTTGGCCTAGTGAACTGCGGGCAATTATTGAAATTTTGAGCAACGTAACGTAGGTCGTTGTCGACGAGAAATCCGATGGGCCGATTGACCACCATCGGCGGTCTGCTCGTCTCGTGAAAATTTGGAAGACTGTACGACGGCACTAGGTTGTAGTTAGTGGGGCGGGGTTGCTGGATGTTGTAGTTAATATTCGGATTAGAAGGACTTTTACCGTGTAATATCCTAGGCATTTCGCACTGTTCACATTTATCCAAGTCTGGATGATTAAGGAATGTACACAAGTGACAATTCCATTTAGGACCCTCGTTGTCTTGAAACGCGCTCAAAGGCGGCTGGGTGTACCGGCCCTCGAGCCTCCGAACACGAGAGCCCCCCTCTATGTTCAGGGGACCCCTCTGACCCGTGTATATGTTGTGGTAGAAGTCTTCTTGAATGTCGACGGGTGCATCTAAAAAGTACAACTAATAAATAAAAATGCACAAACTGTACGTGTACAAATCCCGCAGTGTGACAAACTTTCTATTATTTTTTTAATTATACAGTCAGGTTATTCCTTTATAAATTGCTATCTTAATAGAGACAATAATTTGCACAATGAAATAAAACTGGTATCATTTCAATAAAACTGGTATCATTTCCTTATCTCTCATGGATTCCCTTGTTGTAAATTATGATAAAAAGATTAAAAAATATTATATTTACTGTATAGTACATTTAACTAAATTACTTCCAATTTTATCCTGTACTACAATCTGATACAAATTAAACACAAAACATCTAAGTAAAACAAACGGCTTAGAAATCAGGCTATTAAAAACGTAATTAACAAGATTTTATATCGGAATTAAATTTGCCGAGTGTTAATTAAAACTTAAGAAACTGACAAAAGTGATTTTCTTTGACAGATTTTTATTTTAAATTTTAGTTACTTGGATTTCATTTTGTTGCATGTTCATATCATGTTTATTTCGTTTGTTGTTAATTTTCTACATTTTTTTGTTATACAAACTCTACATCAAACTACATTTTCAATGAATTTTGTGCATTACTTTATCGTAACCCTGTATATGTATACTAGGTCGAATCACGTTTTTTCTTGTTAAAGCAGAACTATAGAAATTAAGTTTTGAGGTTATGTACCATGTCAAGCCCGTCATAGCTGTCTTTGTAAAATATAAATCGTTATAAGAACATTTAAGCAAAAAAGATCAAACTATTAAATACAAAATACAGCAGGAAGCGTTCAAACATCTAGAAAAAGAAAAAATAATGGCTTTAGTAATGTCAACCTTGTCAGTACAACTTATCGACGTTCTTTTGTTGTATGTTTGCAATATATTGCTCATTAGTAAAGAAATATTGCACACTGTACTTTCCCAAAGGTTGTTCAAAATATTTTGAACAAATCAAAGTCGACAAAAATGCTTAGATACTGGCTAGAAAATGAGCGGAGTTTCATTTAAATTCAGGTGTCTTAAAATGTTTGAACGTCCCTGTTCAATTGTTAATGCGGGTTATATTTTGTTGATACATATTTCGAAAGATTTCACTCACAATTTACATTTTTCATTACCTACTTTGATTCTTAATTTATATTTACAACACGTCCGTTTTAGTTTTTATTTCACGTAAAAAGAAACACTCGTAACACTGGTAAACAGCACTACGAATGCAAACTACTACACGAACGCCACCGTTACTGAACAAACATAATTATGCAACAAGAACAACTTTACAGAGTGGGTTCATATAACCGTAAAGCAGCTGCAATTTGTTTTTAAAAGATCGAAAAATATTGCTAGATTCATCTTTCATTATATGAACACTTCATATCTTTATAAGATTTTTAGAAATATGGATTTACGTTTCAAAAATATGTAGATGTTTCGACTTTATTTGAATAGTTTCATTAAATAATATGTATACAGAGTTTTTCAATAGTTTTTTATACAACTCATTGTGATTTTTGACAAAAGTATTTTTAAATATTGAGGCGTTCTGCTCTTAATTAAAATATTTAAGTTTTTGGAAATACACAACTCCACCATTTTGCATTTTGAACATAACTAAAGCAAAAGTTTTTTAGTCGTATAAACGAATATTATTATCCTTACAGTCTTCAAAATATGCAGTTTAGTGTTAATGTAGGCAACAAATTGTTTTGACCTGAAGGAACTGAGATAATTAAAACCAACAGAGGTTAATTCAATTTTGTATAGTTTGGGACATTTTTCGAATCGTCGAAAATTCGTCCTTAAAATTAGTTCTTGGTAAACATATTTTAATGTTTCTATTTTTTCCTCATCCCCAATTCTGGAAAAATCATATCTAATAGTGTGACTTGAAATCACATTTGATTACCACACTGGGGTTAAAAAGATAAACGTAAAAAAAATGAGGAGTGAGCCGTTCCTGATTTAATCAATAAAATAAATCGATACATTCATTAAATTTTTTGAGCCCTCTAAATAAGCAAATTTAAAAAATATGATTGCAATGATAAATCACAAGCAAAAACTCATCATATTTTGCACATTTTGGGTAAATTTAGAAATTTAACTCGTTACTATGCAAATTTGCAATTTAACACCTTTAAATTTCACAAGTTTTTACAAGATTAATGGGGGCAAAATCAGTTTTATCTTAACAAATACTATTTTTCCAGAGAATATGTCATCTGCCGAATTAAGTCTTATCTTAGCAAGTACTAGCCCCACCCACCCGCCCTTTATTTTCTCAGAGGGTAGTACTTGCTAGCACTTGCTCAGAGAAGACTGATTTTGGCAAACGCCATATCCTCTGAGAAAATAGAGGGCGGGTGGGTGGGGCTAGTACTTGCTAAGATAGATAAGACTGATTTTGGCAAACGCCTTATCCTCTGAGAAAATAGAGGGCGGGTGGGCGGGGCTAGTACTTGCTAATGTAAAGCTTATTTTGGCAAATAACATATCCTCTGAGAAAATAGGGGGCGGATAGGCGGGGCTAGTACTTGCTAAGATCAGACTGATTTTTCCCCTATTAAACTTACATTTATTTTCTTTTGTATCTAAATACGTACTCATCTTTTCACAGCAACAACTTAAAACATGTTTAGAATAGTAATTTTTTGTAGGGAAATATTAATTTTGCAATTGCGCTCCGCCCCTCGGTCAGACAGCGAATGGAAAATTCACCACCATTGAGATCCAGACGAATGGGTGGGGCTTTTCTTTTACTTAATATATGTAGTTTTCTTTGAGCAACACGATCACCGAAGACCATATTTCACATGGTAATTCTTCAGGGTGGGTGGGCGGTAGTTAAGTTTTCATTTTTTTTTCTTTTTACTATAGATAGTTTTCTCTTCATACTAAAAATATGTTTTAAGTATTATCAAATTGTTAAAAATAGACCATTTTAAAAAAATGAAACTGTGTAACCACCTCTCCCCTACTATGTCAACAACAACAAAACACGTTTCAAATGATAATTTCTTGTACAGAAACAAGGAATTTGCAATTAAGCTTCGCCCGTTTGGCCAACGACAAATAAAAAAAACCATCACAATCGGGATGGGGTGGGTGGGCGGGGCTTAAATTTTCTTTTGTATATTAATATGTATTCATATTTTCACAACAAGAACTTAAAACATGTTTAGCATCGTAAATTTTTGTAGGGAAACGAATGGAAAATTCATTACCATTGTTAAATTTAAAAGGTGTTAAATTGTATATTTCCATAGTAATGAGTTAAATTCCTAAATCTGATTGGATATTTATTTTTTAACAACTCAGTCAGTTTTTTCTGAGACAACCTGTATAAGCAAATTTAAAAAATAGTAATTATGTATTAAAAATAAATCACAAGTATAGACTCAGCATATTTTGCACATTTAAGATACATATTCAGCAATATTTTGAGGTGACGTCATCAATTTTTAGGGAGGATGAGCAAATACATTTTGATCAAAAATTTACCATGTTTATGATAACTTTCAAAACATCTCCAGGATTTCAAAGCATTCGGTTCTGCAGTCCCTGATTAGATCAGTAAAATAAATTCACGCATCCAATTTTCATTTTTTTGAGTGATCCTGAATAAGCAAATCCAAAAAATATTAATGGAATGATAAATCACAAGTAAAAACTTTGTCAATTTTGGAGGGGATAAGCAAATATATTTTGACTAAAAATGTATTATGCCGTTCATAACTTTAAAACATCTGCAAAATTTCAAAGCATTCGGTTTGGCAGATTCAAAGTTAAATTGCAAAAGGTTGTCTTATATTTTTGATATTTTATCCAAAAATCTGTAAGTTTCGGGTAAACTCAACACGGATTCATAAACTACACGTATAGGACTATGTTATTTTATACATGTAAAATCCGTTTACTACGTACTTTAGAACATAAAACTGAAATATGGCAATATATATGTAACACAGTATTAGTTTTAGTTTCACCGGAAATTATATCAATTTTCCTTTTTTAATACAAGAGGCTATAGTTTTTCAATACATTAAATAGTGGCCTTTTTTGTCTATTTAACGATATATCACATGTTATTTTTTTGAATGTTTTAAAACGTCCTATCTATAAATAAATTTTCTATCTCTGTAAGTTCTTGAATTATTCAATCTAGTTACCAGTTGACAGACACCAGCACAAATAAAAAATTAGAGATTTAGAATCTCAGCAATTACTTACTTGCTTCAGAAAATAAGAATCGGGCTAATTAAATTGTTCCAATATTTGTTATTCATCTGTTAAATGAACATGAAAGACGGTAATATGACCAACTGAATCTTTTTGAAGTTCCAGAAACTGAATTGAGAAACCATTTCTGATTAAGCAAAGAATTAACACAAAATTTAATTGAATGGCTGAGTCCATACATTCCATTACCCATTTATTTGCGCGTTCTTGCAATTTTGCAATAAATATGTCTTATTTTAGCAGATACATTCCCCGCCCACCCGCCCTCTCTTTTCTTAGAGGGTATCTCATCTACCAAAATCACTTTTACCTTAACAAGTACTGGCCCCGCCCACCCGCCCTCTCTTTCATTAGAGGGTATCTGATTTGCCAAAATTACTCTTATCTTAGCAGGTACTAGCCCCGCCCACCCCCCCTAGTCACAATTGTGATAACTCTCTTATTCGTCGTGAGCCGAAGGGCGGAGTTTAAATGCAAAATACTTATTTCACGTTTGTAAGTATGGTGTTGAAATAAACCTTCATATATTAAGAAAAAAGCATCCACCCGCCTTAATCTGTGATGAATTTTTCACCAAAATGTTTGAAGTATTATCATATTGTTAAAAATAGACCATTTTGAAAAAATGAAACTGTGTAACCTCCTCTCCCCTACTATGTCAACAACAACAAAACACGTTTCACGTGATAATTCCTTGTACAGAAACAAAGAATTTGCAATTAAGTTTCGCCCGTTTGGCCAACGACAAATAAAAAAAATCATCACAATCGAGATGGGGTGGGTGGGCGGGGCTTATATTTTCTTTTGTATATTAATATGTACTCATATTTTCACAACAAGAACTTAAAACATGTTTAGCATTGTAAATTTTTGTAGGGAATTTTTTGCAATTGCGCTACGCGCCTCGGTCAGACAACGAATGTAAAATTCATCACCATTGTTAAATTTAAAAAGGTGTTAAATTGCACATTTCCATAGTAACGAGTTAAATTCCTAAATCTGATTGGATATTTATTTTTTAACAACTCAAGTCAGTTTTTTCTGAGACAACCTGTATAAGCAAATTTAAAAAATATTAATTATGTGTTAAAAATAAATCACAAGTACAGACTCAGCATATTTTGCACATTTAAGATACATATTCAGCAATATTTTGACGTGACGTCATCAACTTTTAGGGGGGATGAGCAAATACATTTTGATCAACAATTTACCATGCTTATGATGACTTTCAAAACATCTCCAGCATTCGGTTTTCACGCATCCAATTTTCATTTTTTTTTGAGTGACCCTGAATAAGCAAATCCAAAAAATACTAATGGAATGATAAATCACAAGTAAAAACTTCATAAATTTTGGAGGGGATAAGCAAATACATTTTGACTAAAAATTTATTATGCTCTTCATAACTTTAAAATATCTGCAAAATTTCAAAGCATTCGGTTTGGCAGATTCAAAATTAAATTGCAAAATGTTGTTTTATAATTCTGATTTTTTCCCCAAAAATCTGTACGTTTCGGGTAAACTCAAAACGCATTTACTATGTATTTTAAAACATAAAAATTGAAATTTGGCAATATACGTAATATAGTTTCAGTTTCGCCGGAAATGACATCAATTTTCTTTTTTTTTTTAATACAAAAGGCTATAATTTTTCAATACATTAAATAGTGCCATTTTTTGTTTATTCAACGATATATCACATGTTATTCATTTGAATGTTAACAACGTATTTAAAATACAAAAAAATCGAGAGATATTAGATCTGGAGATCTAGCAGGCCACCGAATTGCTCCACTTTTTCCAATCCATTTACGAGGAAATGTATCATTCAAATAATCTGTTAGTATTCACGCGTTAGGTGGCAGCACACCATCTTGCTGGAATTACACTCTTCCTCTCACGGCGAGTGGAACATCTTCTAAAAACACAGGAAGTTCGTTCACAAGAAATTCCAAATAAATTTACAAGTTTAGATTTCTTTTGTAAAATTTAAATAGTCCTATTCTCTAAGCAAAATCTGCGTTCTGAAACACTGTAACTCTGTATCATACAGTCCATAAAATAAAATGATATTCTCTATAAATTTATGGGGCAAGAAACCGCCTCTGTAAGCACTTACATCTATGTTAGTTCTTGAATTATTCAATCTAGTTACCAGTTGACACACGCCATCACAAGTAAAAAATAGAGAATTGGAATCTCACCAATTACTTACTTGCTTCAGAAAATATGAATCGGGCTAATGCTAATCAAATTGTTCCAGTATTTGTTTATCATCTGTTAAATGAACATGAAAGAAGGTAATATGACCAACTGAATCCTTTTGAAGTTCCAGAAACCGAATTGAGAAACAATTTCCGATTGAGCAAAAATTAATGATTTGCCAAAATCGGTCTTATTTTAGCAGGTGTTAGCCCCGCCCACCCGCCCTCTCTTTCATTATAGGGTATCGGATTTGCCAAAATTACTCTTATCTTAGCAGGTACTAGCCCCGCCCACCCGCCCTCTAATTTCTTAGCGGGTATGTCATTTGCCAAAATTAATTTTTTCTAAGCAGGTACTAGAAAAAACCCAAAGTCTTGGCCGTACTTATTAGAAATAATTTCTAGTTACTATACCAAGTGATTCAGTTGAGCTTTAAAAGTTGTTAGAAATTTGCATGTAGGTCTTACATAAACGAAAACGGCAGTCATTCGTGGAAACTTTCAAATAAAAAAAATAAAAAAAAATCGACGACTTTTGCAGTTTTGCTTGACTGAAAGTACATCATTCAAGAAATTGAAAAAAAATACTTTCATTGTTGAAGAAAAAGTAGCCTATTTTCAAAGTTAATTTTTATTTCCAACTTTTAGGCAACCAGTAAAACAGCAAAATAAAAACACATTTAAAATAACAATATAATGTAAGTAAAGACAAACCGTTGATTTTTCTGTGAATAGAGTTCATTTGAATCAAGCGGTATCATCCACTGCATAGAATCGAACTACGTATTATAGTGAGTACTTTTGAGAGATAAGAGATTTTGTTTTTATTAAAATTTCCTTTCAAGCTTACAGCGACCCTTGAAATAAATTTACAAGTATGAGGGAATCAAAAATCGGCGTCTTGGTGTAGAAGTGGAAGAGTTTTATTTCCAACAAAATAGTGCCGCGCCTCATCCATAGAATGGACAGCGAGTCCAGTCGATTATTAAGAAAACTCCGCTCATTATTGATCTCAATGATTTAGAAGAAAAAAATTTAGAAAATGTCAAGCACAAATTTCGTAATAGAGTAACTATTGCACAAGCATTTCAGATGGAACTTATTTTATTTATTGCCGGAATATTGCGTAATTTTTTTTTCACAAAAGTAAATATTATTTTACTGATTTAAATGTCACTGTAAGTTCAAGCACCGGATAAGATTTTTCCTATCCAAGGACGTTGCTATTTAAAATCGAGCGAAGTGAGCAAAATCAAACATTGCCCTTTTCAAGCTATTAAAATATCTTGAATGTGCTACTACATAGATTATGATAATGTGTAGATAAACCTTGCTCAAGTTTTTTTATCAGTTTTTACTGCACAAACAAATTCCTAGAATGCACGGGTATTTTTTAAGATTTTTGTGTCACGGAAATTATCGCGGCGTAGCTCCCTGACTGTTTACCCTTTGTCAACACCCTCTTTTGTCAAGTTTGCCACCGCTCATCCCAACGACACCGCCCAATTTCCCCGAAACCAATAATCTTACTTTTATCAGCCTCAAGTGCCAGCTGTTCACACTGGTACTGCAAATGCTTGATCTCTCTCCTCAGCTGCTTCTCCACTTCCGCGTCGATTTTGTACTCGATTGGTTTGACACGATTTCCCTCCAGATCGGCAACTTCGTTCTGCATCACCTCCAACTTGGCCTTCTCCGTCCGGAGTTCGATTTTAAGTCTTTCGATCCGTGCCTGCTGCTTCAGTATCACTGGAGCTACAACAAGAAAACAGTAATGCAAACTTCGATTGCACAACACCAACAAACCCATTCGGTCAAGGACGCGCAAACGTGGGTCGATCATGGGCAAAGTTCAATCTTGACTGCGAAGTCAAATAGTCCCGACGAAGGTTCGCGCGATACTGGGTGTATGGATAGATAAATTTATTTACACTTTTATGTCAACATACGAATATTGTGATAAGTTAAATGTAATCGGGTTTGTCTCGTGTTTGAGACTGGGAAGTCCGAAATTTCCAATTTGATCGTGGTTGTGGTCAGCTTCATGCAAATGCAAATTTTATCGGTTGTATATAAATGCACCAAATGCTGGATAATAACGCTAACGTCGCTTTCGTTAAAAATGTGCGGTTTAAGCCGACAGCGGAAGCCGCATCCTACATGTCTCCTCGAAAATTTCGCAGGTGATAAAGTGAAAGATAAAATAAATTTATGTCCTTGATGTACGTATTAATAATAAGAATGTTATTAAGTTGCTACAAAACAGATTTTTTCTAACAAAATTTGAAATTTATTCTGATATTCTGGTATGTTTACGGCTTGCAGCCAAGGTGAAATTGTTTTTTGTGACGTTAGCGGAAGGCCATTAACATGATCAGATCCACCAGATGGATTTTTTTCTAATATAAATAAGTATTTCCACGAAGTATGCTATTTGATAACTCGTTCCGCTGCCTCCGTATAAGCGTTCGGTTTCACTTTCGTCTGTTTAAATATAATTATCAAAAATAAAATTCGTTTTGGGGGAGTATTTCGAAATATGTGTTACCACCCTTCACGTACACCACAATGACTCATCATGATGATGATACAAAAGGTAAAAACAACTATGTAGAGCAAGATTATGGTATCAAAGAGTTTTAAATAAAACCTACAGTTCGTTCGATCATACAAATTATTATTATTATTTTCTAAAAAAAGGTTTAAAAGTAGGAACATTTCCATTGCAAAATTTCGTGACGACGTCATCAACATTCTAGCAAGGACACGTACAATTGTACATACATGAATTTGAATAGGTGGAATGCAACATCTATCAATAACAGTACTACATTTCTAAATTTTCTCGAAAATTGGGTGAACCATTCTTGATTTAACTAATTTCATTCTGTGTAAGTAATATTCAATAAGGTGTCACTCACAAGAACCATACACATCGAAATATCAAAGAAAACAGTGGACCGTTAAAGGTTCTGCTATCGAGGACTAGATTTTGCATTGACACAAACGCATTTTTCCAAGAAACCATAAACTCAGAACAGGAACCGGAGACGGCCGATGCTCACAGTTTACGATTATTTCTGCGTGTTTGACATGCCAAATTTTCTGAATGCAAAAAAAATATTTTTTAACATTTCGTAATTAAAGAAAAAACGAGAGATCAATTTTTTGTAAGGACATGGACATCAATTTGAATAGGTGCAATGTAATACTAATAATAATAGTATCGTATTCGTAAATTTTCGGAAAAATGGAATGACCCGTTCCTGATTTAATCAATGTAATAAACTGACTCATACATTAATTTTTTTGGGTCAGCCGGATAAAAAATATAAATGCAATGATAACTCACACGTACATATACAATACACTCATCGTATTTTGCCACATTTTTGATAGGATTTATTTGGAAAAATTTTGAGATGGCGTCATCAATTTCCTGGAGGGGATAAACAGATATTTTCTGATTAAAAATTTATCCTTGTTATCATAACTTTAAAATGTCTGCAGGCATTCAGTTTCACAATTTCTGATTTGATCAATAAAATAAATTGCGAGACTCGTTCATCAATTTTTTTTTTACCACCCTGTATACGCAAATCTAAAAACTGCTAAAAAATGGAATCATAAATCACATTTTGCATATTTTAGGTAGGATTCATTTGACAAAATTCTGAGATGACGGGATTAATTTTTTGGCAGCGGATAAACGAATAAATTTTGATTAACGATTTACCATCATTACGATAATCTTAAAACGTTTGCAAAATTGCTAAATTTGACAACAATCGGTTTAGTAGTTTCGGAGATTATTTGTCTAATAAAAATCCGGACAGACGGTAGACAGACCTACGGAAACGGGAGACCTATTTCTTCGTATTTTAGGGGTCATGAAAAGTCGAGAAAATATAAAATAAGGGAGCAGCTGATGGACTCGATTACAATACTTCCTTAGCTTACGCCCAGGAAGTAATAAACATTATAATAATAACACAAAATCAAAGCAACGTCATAAACCACAAGTACAGAAGTAATTGGGATGAGGTCATAAAATTGCTGGTGGGGATTATTAGACAAATTTTGGTCAGCGGTTTACCATCCACACGATATTTCTAACATACATATAAAATTTGACAACAATTGGTTCGATAGTTTTAGAGATTATCTATTTAATAGAAATCGTCAGAGACGACGGACAGACAAACTGTGAGACCTACTTTTTCGTACTTTTGAGGCCATAAAACGTCTATAAAATATGAAAGTAGCCATTGGTCGGACGGTCCCTATTATAATACTTAGCTTACCTTCATCCTTGGAGACCCATTACTTATATCTCCATTAAATACATTGAATAATAGATTGCTACATACATCAAATCCGTAACTACATTTTTCCTACCAAGCTGAAGATTTAGTAATATTAATACTATAATTATAAAATACTGTATTTAGTTTTTTTGAAAAATAATACAACTAGTTCTTATTGGTGTTATCAGTTAGTCAATTATTCAATTTCCAATTAGTAAGAATTTTAAATCAATATGTATTGTTACAAAAGTGGCTTAGAGTATCGAAATAAATATATTAACGACAACATTTATAAGTCATATAAATCGTAAATGACTTAATAGTGACCCCTGAGTTACTCTCGAAATTATGGAAATCGAACTGGACTTAAAACCGTTGATTTCTACAGAAATCTGCCTACTAGATAAATATGAATTAATAAAATTTAATAATAGACGTACAAATACAGAAGTAAAATTGAAACAATATTTACTACGTCAGTCAGCTTATCCAACTCCTCGTAATGACACTGTAAAATTTTATTGTGTACAAATTCAACGTTTTTACACTACGTATAAGATTTGACAACAATCGGTCCAGTAGTTTAAGAGATTATTTAATACAAATCGCCACAGACGACAGACAGACGGAAACGTGGGACCTACTTTTTCGTACTCTAGGGGTCATAAAATGTCTAGAAAACATGAAAGTAGACATTCGTCGGATGAACCCTATTATAATACTTTCCTGGTTTACGCTCATCATTGCACTTTTACTCACATGTCTATTAAATATATTGAACAATAGATTGCTATCAAAATATACACCCAAATCCGTGGTTACATTTTTCCTACTAAGTTGAAGATGAGAAGGTTTAAATCGGACTGAATTTTTCAGTCCAAAACGCCACTGACTTCCAAAAAGAATTTTATGCTTGTAAAATTTGATACAAGGGGTGGAGTAGTTTCTAGGATTGCCTGTCATATTTTTTCGTACTCTAGAGACCATGAAACGTCAACAAAACATAAAAGTAACCGCTCGTCGGATTGCAATATTTTGTGGTAATTTCACGAACTGTTTTAGTAACAGCCGCAGTGTGTTTATAGAATTTCCGGGATCCTTAAATCCTTTCGATTTAGTCCATAAAATAAATTGTTTCATTTACAGTGAAACCTCCTGTAACGGACAGCTCCCAACAGCGGACACCTCTCTTCAGCGGACAATTTTCTCTGTCCTAACGTATAAAATAGGTCATTTAATGTAAAAAATCCGTTAAACCGTACAATAAAATTTAAAGATTAGGCCAACAATTTCTCGGTACCAGGTCATAACTCTTCAACCCCACACTGCTCATAATATGAGTAAATATGGGTTTTTCCCAAATAGCAAAGCTGGCGTAGTTTTGTTTGTCAAGTGCGAATGAACTTATAAAACACTATTATGTGAGCGTTTACGTTTAAAGTGTGAACACGACCGCTAAGCAAAGAAATTTTTTGTAAAAAAAATTAAAATTGTCGACAATGCCGAGAAGTTGAAATTAAGCATTTAGCGACTCTCACAAAAATTCGCCTACATGTTAAAATGTAGTGCTTTCTTTACTGTCTTGAAACCTCTTGACAGCGGACAGTTTGAGATTCCTCTAGCTGTCCGTTGTGGAGAGGTTTCACTGTATTCATGTCTTTGACTGAATGAATGATTCTAAAAAATTAAATTACATATATGCATATTATTAAAACAGGAACAACAATACTTCAGTGCATACTTTTTAACATTTATTTACCAAATTTTTTAAGATGACGTCATTAATTTTAGAATGGGGTAAATAAATCAATGTTAGCAGAGTTTAAGTAAAACTTGTAATTTTCGTGGTCTGCAAGCAGTGAAACGAAAACAAAATATAAATTAAAAACCCTTGAAATCGATAAAGATACCTTTTAATTTCCACAGTACAGCAAAATCTGATTATGAGTTGTGTAAAAAATGTGTTATTTAAAAAAAAATGTTTATTATCAATTAATGATAACGCAGAGACGGTTCTTGCTATCGAAAATACGAGAATTAGAATAAGCCCTGGATTACTACTATCGAATAGGGACATTTTTAGACTATACTTGATCCCATTTCATGAGTGACGATCAATATGCCAATAGTAAGTGATGTTCATTTAACGATTTTTGTGTTGAATCATTTTAAAATTTTTCTTCGACCACCGAAAACTAAAAAATAAAAATAAATAATAAGTACCGTTCTGGTGGTTAATTCGACTTTTAAAGCCAGATTTCAACATCCGTGACTCCAATGACTTCATAGAACCTTAAATTTCGTAATTAAACGAACATACCAGAAGAAAGTATCCGTTATTATGTGAAAGCCACACACGCCTTAAAAATAAATGCACGAATTTATGTCCTTTCGAATGTATTTTAGCGACTACAATTTAATCATGAGAAAAAAGTACAGAATTCGAAA